CATGCGCATGCTCGCTAACGAAACACAGTTGCACGTCAAGTGTTCCATGGATTCTGATTTCTCCCCGCACAGTCTGCACAGTGTGTCCGAAGATAGACCCATCTTGTGTAGTATATGCCTTATTGGCATATGTCCAGTTAAAACACCCATAATGAGTCTCACCTGTTGTCTGCCACCGCTGTAGATGAGTTTATCCCATCCTTCAACATTGTCATTTAAGAACTTTTTAGAATCTTTAAGACCCTTCAAAGTCCTCCATTCCTTTTGCTGTTTTTTCCTCACATACTCCTCAAGGGCAGAGTTAACAACACTTGATGCAAGTGCAACATATGGTTCGGGACCTATAATTTTTTATTCTGATCTCATCGGCCCTTTTATTACCTTTAATCCCAATATGTCCAGGGACCCATATCAAACTAACCCTATTATGCCTACTCAAATTATTTAAGTTTTGAATAGTATTTAGGGTTAACCCTGAATTCACCCTTGTTGATACAATTGCTTTGATAGTTGCTTGACTGTCACTTAATAATGTAAAAAACAAGAATATAGATATTCTTGTTTTTTACATTATTATCTAGATTCATTGTTTGTATCAATTCTGATACCGTATTTGGGAATTTTCCGTTCACCATTATAACCATATCATCCGCATATCCAACAGTATAGACTGGCCCTTCATTTAATAATGTCATTAGAGTATCCACTACAAAACTCCATAGTATTGGTGACAGTACCCCTCCCTGGTGGCATCCGTTAGTAGTAGTGGCTTATATTTTTGCCCCCAGTAACTCAGATTCTATAATTCTGCCTTTAAGCATACAGTCTATGCACCTACAGAGAGTGGAAGGAATGCCATGTTTCTTTGCTGCTTGATTAATCGAGATGAATATATTTATTAATATATATTCTATAATTATATGGGGTAAAGCAGCCGACATCCAAAGCATATTTGTTTTACAAAACCGTTCTGTTCGCGCAATTTGTTCTATGAGTAGTCGTGAATCATTAAGAGAAAAATTTAAATAAACAAATATTCTTTATATATAATTATTTATTAATATTATACAAAACTAAACTATGTAAATACCTAGTAAACATAACATGCTATTCAATTGACGATTTCCTTGGAGATAAATGCAATAAATTTCCTTAATATTATAATTTTTATACTGTTAATATGACGTTATTGGATTTCTTTGTTTCCATATATATATATATATATATATATATATATATATATATATATATATATATATATATATATATATATATATATATATATATATATATATACATATGTTTGTAAATTTGTGTACTCGATAGATAAGGTTCATCATAGAGGACTTAAGTATCTTGTTTTACCATTCATTGTTATGTACTGTTACTTATGTATCACAAAATAAATAAATGGAATTAAATTCTCAGCGTAAATTTTGTGTACTCGCATACGCAGGAATCTTCAACTGTTTCTTAAAAACAGCGATCTGAATAATCTTAACACTAGATACAAATACAAACTTGCTGTTCCGAAGTATCGTTTAGAAAAAGTTAATATGTCTTTTATGGACATGGGTATTTTTTTTTGATGGGTGAAAATGGCATGGTAACCCCGCCTGCGCTAACGGGATACGCTGGCGGAGCACCAGTGAAGCGTGATAGATGAGAATGAAAACAGGCCAGTTAGCCCATCATGATGAATTCATCAGGAATTAACCATGATAGTTTCCAGGGGGAACCGCGAGGAGGTCGACGTGGTTGGGTATATTGCTAGCAATAGGATTCTCAGTCTCCATTACTAACAATCCCTTTCCCCCCGGGTATTAAATATTATAATAAGATACCGAAAGATATTTTGGATCTACATTTTAATAAGTTTAAAACTGTTATTAAAAACACTTATTGAACAAAGCCTATTACAAACTAAACGATCACTTGAATGATAAACGTGCATGGTGTTAATGGATCATGTACGGGCTTTTAACGACCATGTACTTTTAGACATAGTACATTTAAATAAGTATACATAATGTTAACGGAGATTTAAAAGAGTAACTGTTGAGTTTCTTGCGGGCTCTTTTTTTTATACAACTTAGAATGACAAACATGCTAACGGCCCACCTGATCGAAGTGGTAACCGTCGCCTATAAACATGAGCAGTACCATAGACATAACAGAGTATACTGTTTCGCCCATGATACCCTCCACACGTTGCCATTCCTGAGGACTCAGGTGTTATTCCTCTGCACCCTGTAAATTCACGCCATATCCCACCCTTCAAACCGAAACACAGCCATGCAAACACAACTGTTTCACGGCAGAAACACGAATGGGCCAGAGGTACCCAAGCAATCGACTTTTGTACAAAGACTCCCTCTGGTGAGGTGCTCTTCTTAACAGGTAACAACTTTCCGAACGATGCAGTAGATTTAAAAAAAAAATACGATTTAAATGTGCTTGTAAACAAGTCTATTGTAATAAATTAAATTTGAATTTATTATAAATTTAGAATTATCCTTGTTGTTATTGAATAAATTTTGCAGATCTTGTATTGTTGTTCAAGATATTAAATGGTCTCATTTTAACATCTGATGTTCTTAAGGATGTACGCCTGACAGTACCACCTAACTGCAATATTAAAGGGGGAAAGGATTGTTAGTAATAGAGACTAAGAACCCTATTGCTAGCAATACACCCAAACAGGGGGGGAAAGGGATTGTTATTAATGGAGACTAAAAATCCCATTGCTAGCAATATACCCAACCAGGTCGACCTCCTCGCGGTTCCCCCTGGAAACTATCATGGTTAATTCCTAATGAATTCATCATGACGGGCCAACTGGCCTGTTTTCATTCTCATCTATCACCCTTCACTGGTGCTCCGCCAGCGTATCCCGTTAACGCAGGCGGGGATTACCATTCCATTTTCATCTACAAAAAAAAAAAAACACCCAACCAGGTCGACCTCCCCGTGGTTCCCTCTGGAAACTATCGTGCCGAATTCCAAAAGTATTCATCATGGGCTAACTGACCTGCTTTTTTTTCATTGTCCCCTATCATCCCCCACTGGTGGCCCACCAGCGTATACCGATAGCACAGGCGGGGTTACTATTCCATTATCATCCATTAAAAAAAATAAACTGCAAAATCAGATCTGCAAAAACAATTACCGTATTTTCAACATACGCTTGTCATACTAACTTGGATCCAATTCTCCCCTCGACAGAATGTTATCATCTGTTTGTACCAGAAAGAGACTGTACAAAAGTCATTTGCTTGAGTACCTCTGTCCCATTCATGTTTCAACCGTGAAGCAGCTGTACCTGCATGGCTGTGTTTCGGTTTGAAGGGTGGGATATGGCGTGAATTTACTAGGTACAGAGGAATAACACCTGAGTCCTCAGGAATGGCAACGTATGGGGGGTATCATGGGCGAAACAGTATACTCTATTATGTCCATGGTACTGCTCATGTCTATAGGCGACTGTTACCACTTTCCATCAGGTGGGCCGTCAGCTTGTTTGCCATTCTAAGTTGTATAAAAAAAAAAATACTCATTCAATAACTTTGTTATAAATTCACAAGTAAATTAATTATAACATATGTAATGAGAGCATAAATATTATTTGCAGAAATAAATAAATTAGCAATAATTTGCAGACATCAACATAGCAACCATGAGAGTGCATGGTAATCAATTATACCATACTGCTATTTAGGCAATAAACAATTCACCAGAATATACAGTATGCTCCAATAATAAAAACAAATGAATTCTGTGCTTTTTTTTATACAACTTAGAATGGCAAACAAGCTGACGGCACACCTGATGGAAAGTGGTAGCCGTCGCCGATAGACATGAGCAGTACCATGGACATAACAGAGTATACTGTTTCGCCCATGATACCCCCCATGCGTTGCCATTCCTGAGGACTCAGGTGTTATTCCTCTGTACCCTGTATATTCACGTCATATCCCACCCTTCAAACCGAAACACAGCCATGCAAACACTATGCTATATGTTCAATACGAACATACACATTAATATAAAAACTATTTTATTGTTTTTTTTTTTTTTTGTTTTCAATGGGTGATGCTCAAAATGAACCTTTTTATGTACAATTGATAGGTGTAGCTTTTTATAAAAAAGAAAATTGTAAAACAAATTAAATGAAACAAAAAATATATATAATACATCAAGTCAACAGACGGTATTTTTTAATTAAAATCAAACATAAGTAATAAATAATAATATATACAACAAGAACCAGCATATTTTGTAAACAGGTGATAATGGAATGGTAAACCCGCCTGCGCTATCGGTATACGCTGACGGGATACCGGTGATAGATGATAGGTGACGATGAAAGCAGATCAATTAGCCCATCGTGACGAATTCCACTACGATTAACCACGATGGTTTCTTTTTTTTTTAATATTTTAAGGGCTTTTACCTTCTTCAGGTATATCAGTCCTATCGTACCCTGAACTGATTTCTCCAACAAAACTTTATCTACCTTCCCTAGACGCGGAAAGAGAAGAATTAATGGGCATCAATAATTTACACAGATGTTCAAAAATTTCTGGTTTAAGTTCAGCTAACATAGTTTGAATAAGACCACCTAGTGAGAACCGCATGGAGGTCGTCCTGATAGGGTACATTGCTAGCAGTAAGGCTAGTAATCCGCATTACTAAAAACCCCTTCCCCCCTCTTCACGAATTTACCAAAAATAAATTATGTTTGTTTCCAAAGGCGACCGCGTAGAGGCCGATCTAGTAAAGTATCCGGTATCGGATATCGCGGTATCCCCTGGAAACCATCGTGATGAATTTCAAGTGTATTCATCACGACGAGCCAAATAACCAGCCTTTTAATTCACATCTATGCTATCTCACTGGTTCCCGGCCAACGTAAACCAATAGCGCATTAGATACAAATCCATTTAAATGCTTTAAAAAAATTATATTAAAAGTTCTAACTAAAAAAGAACAACCTGTATATTTGTCATATGAGAGGCATATTTATATAAATATAGCAGAGAAGAATTTTATTCACTTATTACTAGTGGTGTGGGGATTACACACACACACACAGTAAGTTGTGTTTTATTTCCACAATCGATCACTTAATCGATTCTCGTTCGAAGACATTCATAATCGATTAAAGGCCTGCGTCATACTCGTATTGCGACGGGCGTAAAACAGGGGACCGCTGCGAATTTTGGAAATTGGCAGCCGACAGTCTACCACTCTGCCGCGCCGCTCGAGTCATGCGGTGACCTGACTGAAGCGAACGGTGAAACGTCGATGGGATCGATCCATTCTGAGCTCACCCGTTCTTCGCCCGTCGTAATGTACAAGCCTTAATTCCAGACCGTGGTTCGATTCCGCGAGGATTAATATTTGTATAATTCAAATATTGATCCAGTCATTCATTGAATTCTCCAAAAATTGTAATTAATTCTTGGTGAATTCGTCACGACGAGCCAACTAATTCACTTTAGTGCTCATTTATACTGGTTGACATTCCATTTTGATACTGTTACAGAGTTTATTTAACAATTTAATACATAATATTTCATTTTATTTTCAGAGCAAAATGGTGTCGAAGTATCTGGCAATTTTGCTCTTCATCCCGATAATCTACGCTAAAATCCAAGTCAATGTCGTCGCTTCTGAAAACGAGGCGGAGCGACTGGTGGACCTGGCTGGAAGCAACGTGGACATCATCACCGACAACGAGAGGTACACCTTCCAACTGACCGACAACAATTTGAAGAACGCCGTCCAATCATACTTCGGACAGCGGCCTGACGACGCCTTCCTTAGGAGCCCGACACCCTGGGGCGATCTCTACCAGGTATACGGCTGGCCGCAAGTCGCCAGGTCCCTGTCTCCTCAGAGAGCAAGTATTCTCCAGGTCAGCTCGAAACCAAGTATCATATTAACACAACACTTCAGAAACAACAGCACCCAACCAGCAACGTTTAAAGCCCAAATCCAACAGCAAGTGCAAAACACTGTCACTTCCACGTGGGAGAAGGGTGGTGAATTAACCGTTGGCCAGGAAATCGAATATGGCTTCGACATCAAAGTGGTGTCTGTCGGTGGCAAGACCAGCTTCTCTTACACATCCAGATGGGGAGAAAGTGTGTCCAAATCGGAAACTGTGACCGTGGGCTCCGAATCAGGAGTTGAAATCACCTTGGAGCCTGGCCAGGCTATTATAGCTGAACTCTTAGCGACCCGGGGCACCATGGAGATCCAGGTGGATTATGAGGCTACTCTGTCCGGTGCTACTGCAGTTAACTACGCGAACACCTTCAAGGGTCATCACTTCTGGGCGCTGGACATCAACGCTGTGATGACGTCTGGAGACTTGAACCCCACCGCTCACTCCCGGGAAGTTATCAAGCTAGGTTACTACTCCAGCTCTCACGTTGTGATCAGAGATGCTGAGAACAACAATGTACTGTACTCTTTACCTATGAATATTTTCTAAATATTGTGTAAGTATATAATTATTGTGAATAAATAGCTATTTTCATATTTATTTTCATTTTTCACTACTAATATTCCCTTTTTCTTATTGAATCCTTTTTAAATTGTTAGACAGAGTAGTTTAAAAAGTCTACAATAAAAAAATATTTCTATAAAATGTATTCAAAAAATAATTTGTCAGTTTGGTTGTAACATAAATTTTTTATATATTTGTTCCCTCATAAATCCATCATCTACATAGTATAAAACAAAGTCGCTGTCGCTATTTCTCCGTTCCTATGTATGCTTAAATCTTTAAAACTACGCAACGGATTTTGAAGCGGTTTCTTTTAATAGATAGAGTGATTCAAGAGGAAGGTTTATATGTATAATACATGCATAATATTGTAGAGAAACACTGATAAATTTAGAAGTTTCTAATGTGATATCGTAAATAAACACCTTTTTTGCGCTTATATTGCAAACGCTGGCTGAACCCCACGAGATAAATTAAAATAATGTACTACAGTATTGTACACCTTAAAAAGGTCAACAAAAAAGTCGACGACGGTATATGTCTGTCTCTTAAGGATAACCCATAATAACCATTTTTTAGTGGGGCATTCTGTAGTAGGTAAGATTTAGTATCAACATTGCACCTGTGCGAAGCCGGGGCGGGTCGCTTGTTTATATATAATAAAAGAATTGATTTTTCTTTTCACTTGAAAGGAATATACATAAATTAATTATTAATAAATTAATTTAATTATACTTTCGAATTAGTTCCATGGATTTTTTCTCAAAATCGGTTTATTGTTTAGTTTTTAAATAAAAATAACTTGTTTTATTACTGAAGTGAAGACGTTTTATAACTGAAGTTGTTTCTTTTCATTTCATAAATTATTACTAGAAATATATTGTAAACTTAGTTACATGTACAAAAGTGTGTTCTTATAAATGAAAGAATAAATACAACACGGTCTTCTCTTGCCCGCTGATGTTGTGTGGGCGGGCGAGGTAGCGGCCTCGGGGCGTACCCCACTACCCCGGCTTCTACTCCGGAGGCGACGACCGGGTCATTGGGTTTGCAGCCGGCATACACTGGTGGTCTGTGTATGCCGGCGTGGTGTCTTCTTTCATAAGGTTTCTTTCTTCGCTCTTGAGTTTTTTTTTTTATTGTTATTATTATTATTATTATTATTTTAATTTTTATAAATGAAAGAGATCATAAGGGATTGTTAGTAATGCGAACTACCAGTACCATAGCTAACAATGTATCTTGGCAGTTCGACCTCCACGCGATCTTCCCTGGGAACCATCGTGCCGAATTCCAGGTGTACTCATCACAATGGGTTGACTGACCTGCTTTATTATTCTCACCTATTATCTCTCACTGGTACCCCGCCAGCGTAAACGGGATTACCATTTCATTATCATCCATTAAAAGAATTAAAAAAAAAACCTTTGGAAATGCATTTCTTAATGGTTTCAGACACCTACAGTATGTAGGAAAGAATTAGGGGAAAAAGCAAAGGAAAGTTGGAAATGCGTAAAGGAAATAAGTAAATAAGAGGAATAAGGGATTTATGTGGAAAAGGAAAGGGGGGGGGGGGCGGACACTGCAGTTGCGGAAAGGACTGGGACACTGCAGCGGCTCGGGAGGCCGGGGTCGCATACCCGTATGCCCTTTTTTTAATATTATTTTAAGGGCTTTTACCTTCTTCAGGTATATCAGTCCTATTGTACCCTGAACTGATTTCTCAAACAAAACTTTATGTACTTTCCTTGGTTGCTAGAGCCACCTCAGCTGTTGCTATATATGCACACCTCCAGCAAGATGTGCCTATTTTTTTTAATCAAGTTTATGTCGAGGCTTTAGTACACCAGAGTGGGGGGAAAGGGATTGTTAGTAATGAAGACTGAGAATCCCATTGCTAGCAATATACCCAACCAGGTCGACCTACTCGCGGTTCTCCCTGGAAACTATCATGGTTAATTCATGATGAATTCATCATGATGAGCTAACTGGCCTGTTTTCATTCTCATCTATCACCCTTCACTGGTGCTCCGCCAGCGTGTCCCGTTAGCGCAGACGGTGTTACCATACCATTTTCACCCATAAAAAACATTCACAATAACGGCAAAGACAGTAGAATAATTTATATTTGTAAAATCAGTGGATTGTAGTCGTGCCATATTCTAAGTATTTCTGTACTAAAATATATTTTAATGAACAAAAACAGGAAATAACTCTTTCTCTTACACTTCCAATTGGGGAAAGTTTGTATGGAAATCCAATCCTGTAACAATAGGATCTGATTCAGATGTTGAAATCACTTCAAAACCTGAGGGCCTACCATGAAATATTTTCCGAAATTTCGGGCACGTACGAAACAAAAATTTGATGTTAAAAATACATAATACATGCCGTTTAAAATTATTAAAAATGTTAAAATATCGTTTCCCTGAACTATTAGGATAGGATTTGTGATGAACGAAATGTTAAGCTCCATTTACTGGGTCGATTTTGGTACGAACAAAAATACGAAATTGAACCCGAAAATTCGGAATTTCATTTCATGGTAGTACCACTGGTCAAAGTATTGTAGCTGAGGTTAACTCTATTCGAGATTTCTCCAAATTCAAGTGGATTATGAGACTACGCTATCTGGAGAAATAGCTGTTAACTATGCAAGTAATACTTTGGCCATTACTTCTGGGCTCTAGATATTAAGGAAGCGATGAAGGATGACGGTCTAAAGACCACAATACCGTTTTTCCAGAGGGAGACCTTGTACAAAAGTCGATTGCTTGGGTACCTCTGTGTTTCTATTCGTGTTTCGACCGTGAAGCAGTTGTGTTTGCATGGCTGTGTTTCGGTTTGAAGGATGGGATATGGCGTGAATTTACTGGGTACAGAGGAATAACACCTGAGTCCTCAGGAATGGCAACGCATGCGGGGTGTCATGGGCGAAACAGTATACTCTCTTACGTCCATGGTACTGCTCATGTCTATAGGCGACGGTTATCACTCTCCATCAGGTGGGCCGTCAGCTTGTTTGCCATTCTAAGTTGATTAAAAAAAAATCAGAAGTTATAAATCTGAGTTATTACTCTGAATCGACGATTGTAGTTAAAGATTTACATAGTAATGATTTATATACCATTCCCATTTTAATAACGTAAATAGATTATATAATAGAAGGTAAGATAGAAGGAAGGAGGGAGAAGGGGAGACTAAGGCATAGTTACATCAGGCAGATCAAGGAAAAAGTTGATGTCGTGTCGTATCGAGAGGTGAAGAGATTTGTTGAAAATCGTAGTGAGTGGCAAAAGCTCCACCGACAAGAGTACAGCTCTTAAATAGGAAAAAAAAATCAATTGTATTTGAAAGAAAAAAAAATGTAAATCAAAATGCTATTAAAGTGACAATTGTTAATAATAAATAAATATCTCACATTTATGTTTAATTCCGTTTCATAATTTGAGTATTAGTGAAATGAAAAAATAAGCATTTTTTTTTACTGTTGAAATATCCCACGATTGGTCTCGCTCTCACTTGATGGAAAATGAAGATGTTGTCTAAGATAAAGCTTGCAGACTCACGAATAGCCTATTCATACAGTCACATACAAGCACATACAAGGATTTAAGGCAAATACCTCAAAATTCATCTGTATGTGACTGGAACAAAATATGCAAGAAGAAAGTTCCACCCCTTGCCTGTTGAGGGTTTTTTTATGAGTGAAGATGGAATGGTAACCCCCCCCCCCCCCCCCTGCGCCATCGGTATACGCCGGCGGGGCACCAGTAAAAGGTGACAAGTGAGGATTATGGCAGGTCAGTTGGCCCATAGCGACTAATTAAACAAAAATTAACCACTATAGTTTCCAGGGGGAACCGCGTGGAGGTCGACCTGGTAGGGTGCATTGTTAGCAATGAGGTTGTTAAATCTCATTACTAACAATCCCATTCCCCCCTGCCTGTTGAGGGGGAAGGGATGTTATTTTCCCCCCTCCCTCTGGAAACTGGTGATTATTTTATCGTCGAATAACTTTTCGTCGTCACCTATCATCCCTCACTGGTGCCCCGCCAGCGTATACAGTTAGCGCAGGCGGATTTACCATTCCATCATCATCTATTAAAAAAAAAATAACGGAGAAATAAAACAGCAATATATAATTTAACAACACACTTTCTTTTAAAAAATACTAATTAATACATTTAATGTGTACTATGTATACATATACAGGGTGATCTCGAAATAATTAGCATTCTTTTAAGGGTGTGTCCTAGCAGTGGTACTGAACACTTCTTCCAAAGAAACATTGGTCGAAAAACGACATAAAATATTACTAACTCGACAATTTAACACGCCGTGTTAGAATAGAAAAAAAAAACCGATTATTTTGATTTAAAAACTAAACTACTGTATCGATTTTGATAAAATTTCTATGAAACTAACAAGGACATACTTACAACTTGCAGATAAAAAAATAATTTTCCAAATCGATTTACAACTAACGGAGTTATGAGGTAACAAACATAAAAAATAAAAATAAACCCAATACAGTTAGATTTCATTTTTTTAAATAAAAATTATTGAATACTTTATGAAAATTTAAAAAACGACGCCCTCCCCGCTTCTAATCGCTGTGCCCGACAGGGTCTACAATGTACTTTATTACAAAATTTAAGAACACACTGTACAAATGGCTTTTGGACAAATGTTATTACTGAATTAAGGACTTGTTGGACTGAAGAATAATTCTACTTTATAAGCCATTTTGTGTTACTATGGCACACGCATGAAGGAATGGTAACAAAGGAGATTGTTAGATTATGTATTTTGTTTTTGTATTATTTTTTTTTATTTGTGCTTTTTTTATTTTTATTCTTTTGTCTCTTTTGCTGTGTATTACGTGTATGTTTGTTTTTTTTTTATTGTAATTTGTGTGCTGTAAGTAATGTAAATAAATTGTCTATCTATCTATCTATCTAAGCACATAAATAATATTTTGTTAATAGTATTCGAAAAGAAGTTACCATAAATATTAAAATTTTGCATGCCATTGTTTTGACAAAACACGCCTGTTCCTAACATATTATTGCTAACGTGTGTATACCGTGTTTTTCAGCAAATAAATTATATTATTATTATTATTGTTAAATATCTATCTTTCAAAATAATATTGAAATTTTTTTTTTTACAACACAAGGGGCAAACGAGCATGCGGCTCACCTGATGGTAAGTGAATACCGCCTCAAATGCCATAAATAAATTGAATTGAATGGAAAAAATTTGAAAACCTACTTCTTTTGTGAAGTCGGTTTAAAATTTAAAATTCTTATTTCAATCCGCGTTTCTTTGGAAAAAATATTTAGTTACTCTGATAGAGCACTCCCTTCAAAGGACGCTAATCTTTCCAATTCCACCCTGTATATATATATATATATATATATATATATATATATATATATATATATACGTCTTATATCTTACTATAATATATTTATACAAGATACACGCATTTATTTACTAAATAATAAGATTATAAATAAATTTATATTAAAATTAAACAATAAATATAAATAATAAATCTTTAGGCTATTTCAATAGAAATTCATAAAAATATAAACTGAGGTATTCGCCGTGTGGTCCCGGCATAGAATGAGCCACTCGTTTCTTTCCCGTGGGTGTCGTAAGAGGCGACTAAGGCAGGACGAGTGATAGGCAGCAGCGTCCCTCTTAAAATATCTCTAAAAGCCTAACTGCGGTTGCCAACCCGCCTGCCAAGCGTGGCAACTACTGATAAAACTCCCCTTATGGAGAAGGCTTATGTCCAGCAGTGGACAGTAAGAGTTAAAATAATAATAAGAGGGGGCAAAAGGATTGTTAGTAATGGAGACTGAGAATCCCATTGCTAGCAATATACCCAACCAGGTCGACCTCCTCGTGGTTCCCCCTGGAAACTATCATGGTTAATTACTGATGAATTCACCATGATGGGCTAACTGAACTGACATTCTCATCTATCACCCTTCACTGGTGCTCCGCCAGCGTATCCCGTTAGCGCAGGCGGGGTTACCATACCATTTTCACCCATCAATAAAAAAAAAAATAAGAAAAAAAAGGTACAACTGACGCGGCCATAATACAATTCCAAATTTGAATAATCGATTAAATGTTTCGATTTGTTACTACCTTCATTTACAATATGTCTATATAATAATTTAAATAAAACTTAGTTATTTTTTTTATTAATTTCTATTGAAACAGGCTATATTTGAATTTGCCACTTTGCTTGTTTAGTTCAGCAACAATGTAATGCAACAATGCCCTGTTCATATACAGGGTCACCTATTTGTAATTGCTATACCAAGCGGAATCCTTTTTATCAGAGGGAGGCTGTACAAAAGTGGATTGCTTGGGTACCTCTGTCCCATTCGTGTTTCAACCGTGAAGCAGTTGTGTTTGCATGGCTGTGTTTCAGTTTGAAGGGTGCGATATGGCGTGCATTTACTGGGTACAGAGGAATAACACCTGAGTCCTCAGGAATGCCAACGCATGCGGGGTATCATGGGCGAAACAGTATACTCTGTTATGTCCATGGTATCGCTCATGTCTATAGGCGATGTGAATGTGAGAATTTGTAATAATAAAATACAACTTAGAATGGCAAACAAGCTGACGGCCCACCTGATGTAAAGTGGTAACCGTCGCCTATAGACACAAGCAGTACCATGGACATAACAGAGTATACTGTTTCGCCCATGATACCCCGCATGCATTGCCATTCCTGAGGACTCAGGTGTTATTCCTCTGTACCCAGTAAATTTACGCCATAACCCACCCTTCAAACCGAAACACGGCCATGCAAACACAACTGCTTCACGGTTGAAACACGAATGGGACAGAGGTACCCAAGCAATCGACTTTTGTATAGTCCCTCTGATAATTACTTGATAAAGTTTTTCAGTTTCAGGAATATGTATTATCGTGGATTAATGATTTTTTTATTTGTTTTGTATCAGCCTGTATATCACTGTTATGTGCATATAAACAATCTTACCTACATTATACATGATATGATAATTACAATATACAGGGTGAGTCGATTACAATTAAAATCGTAATTTAAATAAATATTCTAAAATATTAACGGTCGAATTCCTATTGAAAATCACTTTAGTAAGTCTCTTAAAGGGTATTTGAAAATATTAAAAAAAAAACATAACACTACTTTTGGGAATCAATAATTACAAATAATAATTTTTTTTGCTTTTTTTCGCAGTGAACAAAATAAAAAAAAAATGCTTAACTGTTTTTAAAATTTACTTCACCTACGGAGAGATGAGTAACGTGGGCTGTTTTGTTGAAAAAAAAAGCCATGTAAAGCCGGAGCGAGTCCCTAGTCTAAGTAATAAGTTGGCAAATTACCTTCCGACTAATCGATCGAATGGGATTCGAACCCAAACCATTCTACTATCTAGAACGAGTATGTTCCTCGCAGTAGATGACAAATTATCTACAGGATAATCAGAAATAATTGTCAGAGCATTTGGAATTCTACGCTATTTGTACAGAGTCGAGTTTTAATTGTGAGAAAAAGAAATACGAGTACAGTTTCTTCTAATATTAACTTCGTTCTTACGGTACACAGGGTGATGAAAAATTACAATATACAGGGTGTTAGTAAGGTCACGTGTGATGGTACTGCAGATGGGCCAGTGGATGCTCGTACAATGGGTACAGAGGTTGCGGGGCGTGCGCCGGTGGCGCCATCTGCTGGGGATGGGCTGGAGCATCGCTGTCGTCGTCTGTTGATGAGTCTAACTGCTTGTCCCCAGCGCCGCCACTGAAATTAAAAAAAAAATATATACTTATATATATTTATGTAAATATAACACAGACAAAGTTTTACTGATTTTTGGAGATTGTAATGCATGGATGTTGCTAGCCTTATGGCTAGCAGAACTTTTTTATAATTAATAAGTGAAGCAAAAAAATTGTACCCCTTTTTACGAAAATTGCATGGACAGAGAAGTATGAAATATCGCACACTTATAGTTTACATAGAGAAGGAGTGCAGAATGCTAATATTTTCTTTTAAAATTATGCATATAAAACACATTAAATCAATAAAAAAAAAAGACATTAAACACACTACCATGTATTTTTTTTTAGATGGGTGAAAATGATATGGTAACCCCGCCTGCGCTAACGGGATACGCTGGCGGAGCACCAGTGAAGGGTGATAGATGAGAATGAAAACAGGCCAGTTAGCCCATCGTGATGAATTCATCAATAATTAACCGTGATAGTTTCCAGAGAGTTAGAACCGCGAGGAGGTCGACGTGGTTGCGTATATTGCTAGCAATGGGTCTCAGTCTCCATTACTAACAATCCCTTTCCCCCCGGTATCTATATAATTACATGGTCGTTAAAAACCCGTACATGATTGACTAACACCATACACATTTGTCATTCAAGTAATCGTTTAGTGTGTTTTATCCAATAAGTGTAGATTTTAATGACAGTTTTTACCAGAGGGAGACTTTGTACAAAAGTCGATTGCTTGGGTACCTCTGTCCCATTAGTGTTTCAACCGTGAAGCAGTTGTGTTTGCATGGCTGTGTTTCGGTTTGAAGGGCGGGATATGGCGTGAATTTACAGGGTACAGAGCAATAACACCTGAGTCCTCAGGAATGGCGACGCATGAGGGGTATCATGAGCGAAACAGTATACTCTGTTATGTCCATGGTACTGCTCATGTTTGTAGGCGACGGTTACCATTTTCCATCAGATGGGCCGTCAGCTTGTTTGCAATTCTAAGTTGTATACAAAAAAAATGTTTTAAATTTATTAAAATGTAGATCCAAAATATTCTTCGGTATCTTAATATAACATTTAATGCTCATTCCCATAAAAGACATATTAACTTTTTCTAAACTATACTTCGGAACAGCAAGTTTGTATTTGTATCTAGTGTTAAGATTATTGAGATGTAAGACAGATAGAGATGAGAAGCTGTTTTCGCTGAATGAAAGAAATTTTATTTTTTGCTCTCTCGATACCAAGCAGTTCACCAGTTAACTAAAGTACAACAACTAACTATAAAAAAGCTCAATAAATGCTCATGTCCAATTTTTTAAACGTGGAACACGAATTTTTTGCACGCGCTTACTAAATAAGTATTCTAAGTTTTAAAAAAAAAAAAACAAAATAATTCTTGTATATTTATCGTGGTCTAAGAAAACAGTGGCCTCACAATATAGGCAGGCCCAAATGGTACCGCCGCACAATGTGACGTACGCAAACTGACAGCCCGCCCCTGCGTAACTCGATATGGCGGCAACATGGCCGCCGGCTGCTTTTTCTTTTTAATTTCTACGTTTTTTTTTTTTCATCTTTTCGCTAGGCTTAGACGTGATTCGGTTAGACGGTTTTCGTATTATACCTTTTTTGTCGTTCAAATGCTTGGGAATTCGAAATAAGTTTTATGCGTTACGCAAAAACGTATCGCTACGTGGACAGGTACTATCCTAAATCTATGTATAGCTATATACAATAAAAATTCTAAGCGTTCATCTCCGAAAGAGATTATATTTTAAGCGATGAAAATAGAATGCTAACCCCGCGTCCACTATTGGTATACGCTAGTAGGGTACAACTGAGGAATAACAGATGAGGACGAAATCAGAGATGAGGTCAGTTGGCTCGTAGAGATGTATTCACCAGGAATGAAATGTGGTAGTTACCAGGAGGACCGCGTGGTGGTCGGCCTGCCAGTGTATATGGTTAACAATGGAGCTGATAATCCCTATTACTATCAACCCTTTTTCCTCCAAACTTAGAAAAGTAGTAAAAGATGTTGCTTTTCTTTAAATTCACGCATTATATAGGCGTGTAGGTTCCGGCACAGAATGGGCCACCCTTTCCTTTCCTGTGAGTATCGTAAAAAGCGACTAAGGGAGGTTAAGGTGGAAGAATGAGCAGTAGCCATCCCCCTTAAAACATCAACAAAAGCCAAACTGCGATTGCCAATCCGCCTGCCAAGCGTGGCAACTACTGGCAAAACCTCCCTTATAGGTGAGGATATGTTCAGCAGTGCACAGTTAACGGTTGAGACAAGAACGATGTATAGACAACGTTTACCCTCTTTCTATCAATATTTGCCATTCTAAATTGCATTAAAAGAAGAATATCCAACTACAATACTATTTACAAAGAATTTATACACTATTTTTTTTTATACCGGAAAGCTGGCAAACAAGCATACAGCCCGTCTGATGGTACACGGTCACTGTAGACTATAGACGCCTGCAACACTAGTGATGTCACGTGTACGTTGCCGACTCTGAAGAGACTTTAATACACTCTTTTTGAAGAACCCCATACTGTCGTCTCTAGGGAAAACCTCGGCAGTCTCATTCCACAGTCTGAGTGTTCGCGGGAGAACATTCCTTTGAAACCACACCATTTGCTATTTTTACACATAGAAAGAAAGAAATTTGTATAAAATGACTAGCTGACTCGGCAAACGTTGTTTTACCATATACATTATTTCGAGAACTATACATGAAAATTTATCGTACTACAATTATTATATTCGATTGCCGTCATGCAACTCTATTGCGGTATATAAAAATCGCGATTAAAAAACAGGGGTTGATCGTAAAAGCGTGAAAATTGGAATTTATATGTATTTTTCAATGATAAATCATAATAAAATAAAATAAAAAGTTTTGTCAAAAAATAAAAATAAAATATTTAGGGGTAAGTCACCCTTATCATTAAGGGGTATGAAAAATAGATGTTGGCCGATTCTCAGACCTACACAATATGCACACAAAATTTTATAAAAATCAGTAAAGCCGTTTCGGAGGAGTTTGGTAACAAACACCGTGACACGAGAATTTTATATATTAGATATAACAAGTTTGCTAAATATGTCAAGTATAGAAATGACGCATTTGATCTTTAACTTAATCATCAAAAATACGTCAATGACTTGAAAATCATCACAGTATATCATTAAATCATTATCAGCATTTAATATTGCAGTATAAGCACTCTATAGTCAACGTATGTCATGAAATACAAAATTATTTTTTATGCAACTGCAAATGGCGGTCCATCTGATGAAAAGTGGCAAATTTTGGTAATAGAGAGCGAAAGAGAGTACTAGTAACGGGGACTAGGTTCCCCGTAGCTAACAATATACCATGGGGGGAAAGGGATTGTTAGTAATGGGATGTAATAGATAGATACTCTTTATTGTTTCCTCCAAAAGATTACAATAGTAAACTTATTATAAATACAAACAATTACAAGAAATAATCACAATGAGAAAACAATGGGCGAGCTTATCGCTAAAAGCGACATTTATTGGCTACTGCTGAACATAGGCCTCCTCCAAAAGGGAGATTTTGTCAGTAGAGGATTTTACCAGAGTACCAGGAAGACTTTGTACAAAAGTCGATTGCTTGGGTACCTCTGTTCCATTCATGTTTCAACCGTGAAGTAGTTTTGTTTGCATGGCTGTGTTTCGGTTTGAATGGTGGGATATGGCGTGAATTTACTGGGTAGAGAGGAATAACACCTCAGGAATGGCAACGCATGAGGGGTATCATGGGCGGAACAGTATACTCTGTTATGTCCATGGTACCGCTCATGTCTATAGGCGACGGTTATCACTTTCCATCAGGTGGGCCGTCAGCTTGTTTGCCATTCTAAGTTGCATAAAAAAAGTTGCTAGGTAATTTTGTTAACTAAGACAGAAAAATTGTGTATTTTTTCCTAATCTTTATATTACTGTGATCATCTTCGTACCAGCCATTATGTATCCACTGCTAAAAATAGGCTTCCCCTATAAATTGATACAAGGAACGGTCCTGAGCCACCTGCATCCACTAACTACCTGCAAAGCCACGTGGTCCTCCTTGGAAACCGCGATGAATCTCAACTGTATTCATCACGATGGACTAACTGACTGCCTTTTTATTCTCACCTGTCACCCCTCACTGGTGCTCCGCCAGCGTATACCGTTAGCGCAGGCGAGGTTGCCATTCCATTATCATCCATTAAAAAAAAACTGCCTGCACTGCGTTTGAGGGCGTCACTGTATGTATTATCGTGCAAAGGATTAATTCTAAATGATTAATGAAGCAGAAGTTTTCGCGCCAAAAAAACATAAGTTTGAGTTTGTCGTGTCCGAGTTTTGAGTCTTACAGGTTTTTTTTTACTTGATGATAATTTATTAGACATTTCACAACGCGGATAAAATAATACTTCTAGTTGATATTTCTATATGAATTGTTCCCCCTGGAAACTGTCGTGGTTAATTCTTGTGAAATTCATCACGATGGGCTAACTGATCTACAACTATCTTCACCTATCATCTGACAGTTTTTTTTTTTATGGGTGAAAATGGTATGGTAACCCCACCTGCGCTAACGGGATACGCTGGCGGAGCACCAGTGAAGGGTGATAGATGAGAATGGAAACAGGCCAGTTAGCCCATCATGATGAATTCATCAGGAATTAACCATGATAGTTTCCAGGGGTACCGCGAGGAGGTCGACCTGGTTGGGTATATTGCTAGCAATGGGATTCTCATTCTATATTACTTACTAACAATCCCTTCCCCCCATCATCTGACAGTAGTGCACTTTTTTTTTAATGGGTGATAATAGCATGGCAAGCTCGCCTGCGCTATCGGTATATGCTGGCGAGACACCAGCGAGGGATGATAGGTGACGATGAAAGCAAGTCAGTTTGCCCATCGTGATGAATTCCACTAGAACTAACCACGGTGGTTTCCAGGTGGAACCGCGTGGAGGTCGACCTGATAAG